TCACCGCCGCATCTTGCCTGGCCCCTCGCGTAAGGCACCTCTCAGTGGATGGGGATGAAGCTCGAGGTTAATTGGGAGGATTTTTGGAATGCCGTGCACTATAGCAGGTTTGGGAATGGGGACTTTTCCTGACTTTGCCTTAGCGTGAGCTGGAAGTAAGCAGGAAAAACGCATGTGGGAAACAACAGTGTTATTTTAACCTTTAAAACTGCTGCCTGGCTGCTGGCGGTGTTTGCCTACCCGTCAGGCTGAACGTTGAAACCCATGACGGTGTGATTTATTTCCTTGTGCTTGCTTTATATCTCCTGCCTCCATTTTCTGAGCCTTTTCCTGCTCGATGTCCTTGGACCTTGCTGCTTGCAAAGCTGGTTCCTGCAAAGCCTGATGAAGGGGCAGATAATGGACCGCTTCAAGGTGCACGGCGTGCCGGTCTGACCTGAGACATCCCCGGCACGAGCCTGGGCATCAGGGAAGGGAGAGCGTGGATCATGTGCAGGCTGCTGGAAAAGCCGCCGTGGCAGGTTGGGAATGAGCTGAGCAAGTGGGAAAGCGTGAAGTTCTGGTGGGGTGAGCAGGGAGGAGAGGCGATCGCCTCCGTGCCAGCCTGGGGAGCCGGCACGTTCTCACTGGGGTCTCAGAATGGAGGTGGCTTGCATCAGTCCTAGAAAAAGGTTTTAAGGGCTTTTCAGCTAGAAGCTAATAGTCAAACCACTGCGTCTTCCCCCAGGAAGGCAAATTAGGAGGTCATTTGGTTGTCGTATCAAAATACTTGTGCAGGGCAAAGGCGATCGCCTCCGTGCCAGCCTGGGGAGCCGGCACGTTCTCACTGGGGTCTCAGAATGGAGGTGGCTTGCATCAGTCCTAGAAAAAGGTTTTAAGGGCTTTTCAGCTAGAAGCTAATAGTCAAACCACTGCGTCTTCCCCCAGGAAGGCAAATTAGGAGGTCATTTGGTTGTCGTATCAAAATACTTGTGCAGGGCAAAGCTTCATTGCAAGGAGACTCCAGCCTAGAGAGTGGAGGAGAGGAAGGGCCAGAGCGGTGAGAAATACCTGCTCGGGTTTGAATTAAAACCCAGGGCAGCGGCGCTGGCTGGCGAAGGGCAGCTGATGCGGGGATGTGAGGATGTGTGGGAGGCTGTGTGCTGCTGGTGTTGGTGGGCACCCACGCGTCTGCCCGGTGCAGGCAGCCAGCTGATGGCAACCCAGGTGCTGGTGCTGCAAGAGGAGCCTGGACCTCGGTCCCACGGCACAGCACATGGGTGTGAACCTCTGGAGCCCTGCAGGTTGGCGTGCCCTCTCCCAAATGACCCGTGAGGAGCAACAGCCCCTCTCTTAGGGGCACCTGTGCCAAGGGTGCTCTCAAAATCTGGCGTGGCTGGGTGCATCAAGTGCAAGGTCAGCCGGTGCAGGTGCTCATACCTCCCGAGACGGCTGGGAGCACCTTGGGGTTGCTGCATGTCTTTGGCTGAGGAAGCCTAGGACTGGCAGAGGAGCCACCGCATCCTGGGTTGATGTGGTGTTGTGCTGAGTTAAACCTCTGGATGGTGGCTGCATGCTCCTGCAGCCCCAGCCCCTGCTGCAGGTGGCATGGCAGGGGTGTCGACCACCCTGGGGTGGGATTTTTGTGAACTGGGGCTCATCGGGGTAGCTCCTTGTTGGGGACACCCACAACTGCAGATGTGGCTGTGGCGGGCGCTGGGGCCGGTGGGGCAGGAGAAGAGGTGGTGGCAGGGTGGGCTGGTGTGCCCTGGGAGGGCGGCACGGCACAGATCCGAAACAGCTGGGTGATGTCTGGACAGGTTTTAATTGTGCTGCCAACTCTAAGAGAAAGAAATGCCCTCCAGCCCTGGCAGGGCTTTTGGTGCTGCAGAACATGAAGACTTTCTCCCAGTTATTCTGCAGCCCTGGGAGAGCTGTTAATAGCCAGCAGCTGGGCATTGACCGCCTTTTCCTCTTGCCCCGCACCACGCGGGGAGAAGCTGGCAGGGGAAGAGTTTGCTATTGAGATGGCAAAACGGCTTGGGCAGCGGCAAGCTGTAAATCCCAAACCTTTCCTGCTGCACGTTCCTGGAAAACCTGCTTTTTGAAATCCCTCCATCACCTCCTTTCCAAGGAGCCAGGATGCACCGCCATGCCATGCTGCAGCCGCTCTGCCTGGGCACCTTATTTCCCATCGCCAGGAACCTGCTGGGGAAGCAGCTGGGTTGGTTCTCTGATGCTGGGTTAAAAAAAAATAAAATCATTTCCGAGAGAGGGAGAGCACGCTGCCAAAAACCTCGCCTCAGCAGCGTGAAGCCGGGGCTGTCTCAGCTGGGAGAAGAGCAGTTGCAGCAGATGTAGCTTGAAGATAGCGGCAGGCCCTGATTTGGGGCAGTTGTGCAGGCCAAGCTGGTTCTCGCGGTGCCCTGGACCTCTGCAGGCAAAATGTCCTTAAACAGTCAGACATGAAGGTGAGTCCGTAGGAATGGAGAGCAGGCTGCAATCAAGTCCTGTGAGACTGCAACCTGGAAATGGTCACCCTGAGAGGGATTTGAGGACCTTAGATGTTGGTGAATAAAGGTGAATGTCCAGTGACCATGCAGCTGAAGAGGCAAGTTTATTTGCTGCGGAGGAGTGTGTAGGAGCAGGAGGAGTTGTGGAAGAGCCTCTCCCCCTTGGTACCACCGTTCCTGTGAAGCTGGGGGTACGTGTCCCAGGGGATTAGTGCTCGCCCATTGCCCATCGCCTGGGCTCTGCATCCTGTGAGCCATCGGAGCAGGACAGGCGCTGTGCTCCCGGCTGTGGTGGCTTTCTCGTCTTGGCAGTACAGCATCGGTGCTTGCAGGTAGCTCAGGAACATTGCCCACCTGGCAGCCAGGGCCGTGGAGCTGCTGGTTGGGTCTTGCTTGTCTGTTTGCTGGGGGAAGTTCAGCAGCTTCTTCTGGTCTGGTGGCTGGTTTCTGTATGCTAATTGTCTCTGTATGGAAGATTTAACTTGGGGCGGTTCATTAGCAGAAGCCGGTTCTTTACGAGCGCCGACTCGAAGCCCAGCCCTGCTCCTCTTGCCCGGAGTGGTGCCAGCACACCCAGGTACAGGTGTGCCCCTGTTTGGGTGTCTCTCGATTCCCAGGCCTTTGGGTGAGAAATTATCTGATGGGCAGTGCCTGGATGTGCAGCTGGTGTGTGAGCAGAGGTGAGTCCCCGGGATCCTGCCAGCTGCGGACGGCAAGCATCACTGCCTCCAGGGCAAGGCTGCCCCGTGCCGTCTACCCCCGGGGATGTGGCACTGGGATGCGGCATGACTGTGTGTGACAACGGGGACCTGGAGGTGGAAGAGCAAGGCTCACATCCCCGGAGCAGCTTATGCCTTCCCTGGGCTTGTGCCTCCACTCTTAGACCTTCTTTAGCAGGATGTGCCCTACCAGGCATGGAGGTGGTGGTGGTGGTCCTTGCGTGTATTCCCATTTCTCTGTGGGCATCTGGGAAAGCATCCTGCCCTTGCACAAGCTAGGAGCCCTGCTCTCAGGTATTGGAGCGCTCTGGTTTTGTGCTCTGCCTGCTGACCGATATGGACCGCAGATGGATGGCAGGGGCTGGGACACGGGTTCACGTTGTACATCTCTACAAGAGGGGCAGCTGCAACGCGTGCTGGTCGTGTCCTGCCCAGTGACACCGAAGGGAGAGTGATGCCACCTCAAAAAAACTCTCTTTCGCTTGCAGGTACTTCAGGTGGTGGTACAAGAAGACCCGCATAGAGAAAAAACCTGCCTTCATTGACCTCTTGTGTGCTGTTCCTCTGCAGCAGATCTACGGTCAGCCTCCAGTTTGGGCACTGGTGCAGTGCCCAGTGTGCTGGGTGGGCAGGGATTCACGTGTGGCCATCAAGGTGCTAGAGAGGGGGAGTGGGTCAAGGAGGTTCTGGGGTGCGGGCAGTGCCGAGCAGCCCCCGGAGCTGCACAGGGGGGGTCCTTGGGCCAGACCCCACCACGGGGAGGAATGGGGGTGCTAATTCCAGCTGTCTTTGCCAGGGTGCCCGCTGGGCGGGATCGGGGGAGGCACCATCACCCGTGGCTGGCGGGGGGAGTTCTGCCGCTGGCAGCTGAACCCGGGCATTTATCACTATGAAACGGTCATCGCCGACCAGGTAGGTGTGGCGGGGGCTGCGAGGGGGGCAAGCAGCACTGAAGCCGCCTGGGCAGCTGGGCTGTCTGCTCTTGGGCTCATCTCATCCCCTCTGTGTGCTCCTCTCCTCCCCAGTTCACAGTGTGCCTGCGTTGCAAGGGGCAGACAGTTTACCAGCAGGTTCTGTCTGTGGAGAGACCCAGCACTCTGCAGGGCTGGAACTGGGGCTACTGCGGCCACTACGCCTTCTACCATGCCCTGTACCCCCGTGCCTGGATGGTCTACGAGCTCCCGGGGCAAAACGTGGTGCTCACTTGCCGCCAGGTCTCTCCCGTCATCCCCCATGACTATAAGGTAAGGAGGCGATGGCCCCACGCTGGTTGCAGCCTGTCCCACGGGAGCGCCGGGCCGCATCGTGCTGCAGCAGCACGGCTTGTATGGAGCAGGTTGGCAGGGATTTAGCAGAGCTGCCTGCATGGTGGGGGGGAAGGCATTGGCACAGCAGAGACGGGGCTGAGATGCTCCCAGGACAGGCGCCCAGCTCAGTGCATCCCATTTGGGTAGCAGAGGCTTGGAGCTGGTGCGTTTTTTGACCCCCGAGCATCACCCATGCATCCAGGGATGCTGCAGTAGAGGAGTTCCTTGTTCTGCCCACCTCAGCATTGCCTGAAGATAACCAGGCTGGCCACCTTGTTAATTTTCTTTCCAAGCCTGGTCTCTTCTGTCCTAAGACCCTGTCCCTAGTGCCAGCTGCCAGGTGTGTAGCAGCTGGACCCTGGAAGGCTTTGCCCCTCTTGGGGCAGTTGGTGCTGGAAGGGTTATCCCTTTTTCCTTGTGCTTAGCTCTGGCAGCTGCTCCTTTCCCCTCTGACCTGTGCTTTGACTCTTTGTACTGCTTGTTCCCTGCCTTTGGTTTTGTCCTGTGATCATCACAGCTCCCGTCCACCTGGAATGACAGGTCCAGAGCCATGGCCTTACTGCATGGAGGATCTGGTGGTAGGGTTTTGGGAAATCCTCAGCCTGTACTTGTGGGTTAGTTTGTCAGCTGGGTGTTCCTGAGAATGTTTTAGCTGCCTTTTGCCTGCCATCCTCAAGGGAAGAGCTACTTACTAGCTGGGCTTTCCCAGCTGGGCTTTCCCAAAATTCCCCCGTGTCTCCACTCAGCAATGCTCCCAGGCAGGAGTAACCCCCGCAGCAGGGGGATGCTTTCCCAGATGCCCCCAGAGAAATGGGAATGCGGAAGCTTGGGACAGCAGCAAGGGATGCCTCGCTGCTCCCGCATGCTGCTCCTCTCTCCCAGCCCTGGGCGAGGGCGGCAGGCTGCGCTGCCGACATGCCTGACCTTCCTCTTACCCCAGCGAAGCACGTGAACCTGTATCAACCTGTTGAGCAGATGGGTGGTGAGACACCCGTCTGAGCCTTAAACACTGCTTTCCATCTGCGTATTGCCTGGTGTGGGGTTTGCTAGCCCAGGGCTTGTGATCTGAATTTTGTATTGCCTGCCCCCAAAATTCCTCTGCTGCTGCTCCCCAGCTTGGCAATGGACTCTGATACCGAGTTGTTCCTGATGCTCTTGCTCCCACTGCATCCTGCGTGGTCTCCCCAGCAGTGGGAGAAGTGATTCTCTGACAGCTAACCGTGGAGCACCATCCCTAAACTCAGCGTTGTCTTTCTCTGCCAGGACTCCAGCCTGCCGGTGGGAGTGTTCGTCTGGGAGGTGGAGAACGGGAGGGATGAGGACGTGGACGTCTCCATCATGTTCAGCCTGCAGAACGGCACGGGAACGAAGGATGACAGGAGTGGAGGGCACTGGAACGAGCCCTTCGCCTTCGAGAAGGAGGGCGAGCAGGTTGCGGGAGTCCTGCTGCACCACTGCACACGCGTGAACCCCTTCACCCTCGCCATCTCTGCCCGGGAGAAGGTAAAGGGCTGTCACTGGTGGTGTGGCTCCCGCTGGGGGGTTGTACAGCCCTGCTGAATGGGGGGGAGCTGCTTCCAGGCAGCTGGTAAAGGATGGGTGTGCGATGGGTTGGGGTTGGTGCTGGTCCTCAGCTCTTGCCTGACTGCCAGAGCAGGTGTGGGGACGTGAATTCCCTGAGGACACCCTCTTTGGGGGTGGGTGCCAGGAGAGAAGCTATGGGTGAAGCTTGCAGGACAGCAGGTCAGTAGGTTTGGAGTTAGCATTGCTAGGCAGCATGCAGGGAGTGAGTGTGGGGTCCCAGAGTTGTTGGGAGTGGGTGGGGTACCCCTTAAAAATACCAGCCCCTGATGATCCTCTTCCCTTCCCCAGGCTGGCACAGGAGTCACCCACTTCACGGCGTTCAATCCCAATCCCGCGGGATCGGGTAGAGAGGTGTGGCATGCCCTCCTGCAGGACGGCAGGCTGGATTCCCCCGCTGGTGAGTCCCTCCGTCCCCTGTGGGACGGGTGGCGGGGGAGCAGGGGTAACGGGTGGCCATGCTGGTCACCGGGCGCAGGGCACCCAAGCAAGGGTGGGTTTTCCTTCCTCGGCCACCTTGGTGCCATCACAAAAAGCTCTCGGTGATGCTGTGGCTCATTCCCAGCTTTAGGCTGTATCTGAGTTTCCTATTGTTTGTCACGCTGTCCTTGTTGTGATTCTCCAAAAGCTGTTCACACCACTTTGGGGCTGTTCTCGGCTATATTAATTGCACATGCCAGTATCTTGTTAGTCTGTGTAGGGTTGTACACTGAGTTGAGATTTTGGGTGAGTAGCCAGGGCGATGCCCGGCCACGTTCCCTGAGTTCCCACTGGCAGTTGTGCAAGCTGGGCCCCATCAGATTCGTTCCAGCGGGCGTTTAGCAGCCCTTGGGGTTTGGTGCTGCCATCGCTTGCTGTCCACTTGTTACTACATCGGTTTCCTGAAGGTCTCTGGTATTCCTGTGATACCTGCATCATCCTCAGTTGTCTGCTCCCTTGGCAGAAGACTTGAAGCAGGGTGGCATCTCCCAGCCCTTGCTGCTAACCTGTTATTGCGATAAAAGGTGACCATTTGCCTAATGTCTCTGCCAGCTTTTGAACAAGGATGACGCTGACAAACTAGTGATGCTGGCACTGGGCCTTTGCAAGGTTTCTTGAAGCTTAAATTATGTAAATAAAGCGTTTACATAAATATTTCCGGAAAACTAAGTTTCCTGCCTAGGTGCACTCAGAGCTTTCCAGGCTATTGGGATGTGGTTTTCCTTCGTGCATGCCAAGCATTATCGTAGTCAGGATCTGTTAAAATTGTTGCTTTAATGAGTTTACCTGGCATGCATGTCAGAACCAGCGTATAATTATTCAGCCACCTCAGGGCTTTTCTTAAATACAGGCACAGTTCAAGCACCCTGCAAAAAGCTGGAAATGATGACTGTCACTAGAAAGTCACAATGCCTCTGACTGCAGTGCAGTTACGAAGTCATGGGGTGCTCTGTCCCTTCCACTCACGCCTGGTGGCTTTTCCTGCCTGATTTGTTCCTCTGCTTTGATGACTTATTTTTTTTACCGCCCTTCCGCCCATGGCAGGTATTTTTTTCCTGCTTGCAAAAAGCGGTTACTCACATGCGGTAATGTCATCCCTTAAAACCCTGGGGATGTACCCTCCAGGTTGCAAGGGAGCTGGGGCATGCTCAAATAGTCTCGTCCCCCTTGAGGTGTGTGGGCGCATCAGTCACCCCCCCATAGGGTTTCCTTGGTCACTTGTGAATATTTTTTTTTTTTTTTTTTTTTTCCCCCGCCAGAAAAACACAGGACGCTGGAGTTGGCCCTGGCATGGGACATGCCCCGTGTTCATTTTGGCTCCAAGGAGAAGCTGCACCTCAGGTGGGTGGGTTGTCTCCAGTGGGGCTTGGCTCATGTCCCCGAAGCCCCTTCTCCCTGCCTCTGGGCTTGAGTGCCACCTGGGGAGCCTTGTGCCACCCACTCCCTGCGGCTGTGGCCCTGCCAGCTCATGGAGGAGACCCTCCCCCCAGCCCCTCAACACCCCTGCACTAGCAGTCGCGTTATTCTGGTGTTCATTATAGCCCAGCCCCTTTCCCGTGGCCAGGTGGGCTTCCCAGCCTGAGCCCGCAGTGTACTCACCAAACCCCCGCTCGGCAGGCGGTACACCCGTGCTTTTGGCAGCGGAGGTGATGCCGCTCCTGCCCTGTCGCATCACGCACTGACGCACTACAAGGAGTGGGAGAGGAAGATCGAAGCATGGCAGAAGCCCATCCTGGACAACAGGTAGGGTAGACGGGAGCACCCTCCCGGTGGCCTCCTGGGGCTGGTCAGAGCAGGAGCATCACCACCTCAGCTTCTGCCGTTGATTTT